ATTAGTATTCACAACACATTAGAAGTTTCATGGACATCATACAAGCCTATTCAGATGAACTCAAAGCATAGTCAATCCTTAATAAAGGCATCAAAATCTTTCAGTATTCACAAAGTTTGTTTTCATGACTGGGAGGTTATTCAAATTCCAGTGTTTTTCAGTAAGTGAATAGAACAATTTACAAGCACACAATGTGTATATGTGTCTGCATATGTGTGTGTATCTCCACGTGTGTGTCTGTTATTGTTTCTGGGTTTCGCCAGAGTTGGGCTGACCTCTGGCTCGACACGTTCAGCGCCAGACATCACCGGTCCTCTGCTCTCCTCATTTCCACTCCTCCGCTCGTCTGCAACAACTCTGTTCATCCACAGCAAGCGATGAAATTTTTACACTGAACAGACTGTCTGTTTTTTTTTATAATTTATCATGGCACGGGGATGAGCAGGAGTAGAATAGCTAGTGCGGCGTAGTGATGTGGGTTTAATGTTTGATAAAAAAAATAAAGAGAGAACATCATTCAGCAAGGTTTGTCATTGCGGATTTAAAAGCACTCTGGTTTCAGAAAGGGTTAGCTTGAATGCGTGCATCTGTGTTTGCATGAGGGAGAGATACATGAGGAGAGACAATACTGGGTTCATGCATGTCAGGGTCCAATCGTAAAATGTTCCCTGTGCAAAATGTACGATGGTATTTGAGAAAAACATGAACGCTCGCTTCTCTGTGTCCTTTTAGGTTGACACTTTTAGCTTTTGACATTCATATGGTACTCGTGTGTGTGTGTGTGTGTGTGTATACCTTGTTCGTGGCAGTGGTGGACTGTTTAAAAGGGGAAAAAAAAGCAACAAAGAGCATCTTGGGCTCTGACGTCCAGCCAGCAGACCTTCCTCTCAGCCCACCATCTGCTCCCCAGGTCAACCCCCCCCCACCACCAAACACACACGCACCGTTCTTGGTGCCTGTGAGCTTAGTAGCTGCTTTAGAATGCACTGATGTGTGAAGCACTAAGAGAGCAAGCTTGGATTTTCTGTCTACTACAACTTCCCCCAGCAGCCACTTTTAAACACCTCTTTTAAAACAGGAAATTCTACTGCCCGGCCAGTTTTCACACTTTAATGCAGAAACACCTCGCACTAACCTTGAAAGCAACCATTTGACTTTATTTTAGTTCTGACCAAAAAAACCAAAAACCCAATAGACAAAGAGATCAGCAGCATCTTCGAGGGTCTGGATAATATTACTCCCTTAAGGCCCTGATTTCTTGGCAAGTTTCCAATCACGAATTTGCAATAATGTTTCATTTAAAGTACCAGTTTACCGCCTTTTTGTGCAGTACCCGAATCACTACATCAGAAAGTTTTGCGTATCAAGGTGTTTTTTTTATACTAGATGTAGCCATTAATGAAGCTGATAAAGTTTTAAGACATATATTTAACAAAAGTATAACTTATTTTTCCAACCTTTTTTGGCTTTTTATTTTAAATTTTTTGAAATTTGCTTTTTTTAAAAAAAACAAACAAATTCAATAGTGCTTCTGTGCATATGTTTGTTTGTTTTTTAATGCTCCAAAGACCACTGAAATTAAATGGCTTCATACTCATTGAGATAGGGGCTTCAAAGTAACCACTCGTAGACATAGATGGGAGTGGTTGCATTTACCATGCTGTTAACACTAAAATAGGGATTGTGATCTCAAAAGTTTGGAGATATTTTGTTTTCAGAAACACATTTTTAGCCTGTGGCTTGATAACACGTGTCTTCATGTTCCAATTCAATTGGTTAACAGAGTTCTTGAGAACCAACAACTCATTCTCTTCCACTTATCCTTGTCAGGGTCACAGGGGGGGCTGTAGCTCATCCAGTCTAACAGAGAGACAGACAGCCATTCACACCTATTTGTCAATTTAGAATTGCCAATTAACCTATCCCCACTAACTTCAGTCAGAGTATCCGGGAGAACATGCAAACTCCACACGGAAAGGCCCCGGCCAGGTGGTGGAATCGAATGCAGGACCTTCTTGCTGGGAGGCAACAGTGCTAATGCCCGTGCTACTACAGCAACTAAAATTACAAAAGTAAAGTTCATGGTGTCACTAAAGGAGAAGTTAAAGAGTCATCATTAGAAATGACCACATATTGTGTGGGATGTAAAAATTCACCATTGATAAAATGGTAAATGGACTGGATCTTATATAGCGCTTTTCTACTCTAGCTGAGCACTCAAAATGCTTACCTACAAGTCAGGATGGATCCATACTTTTATGTTGTTTCCAAATACTGACCGTAGCAACTGAATGTTGCAGCCCAAATCAAGATCAAAGACCTGCCGACATTTTTCTAATCTATTGTCCATTTTTGAGGAGCCAAAATTGTCGCTGATTGCTGTGGTCCTCTGATGCTCTATCCCATCTGCTTCAAGGGTTGACCTGGAAACAGAAATGGCCTTTTGCATAGTTTGGTTTTCACAAATGACTATTTGAGTTGCATTTCTATCAGCTCAGTCTGGCCATTCTTGGCATTTTTTGTGCCAAGAGAAGTGATTGTTTTCTCTTTTTCAGAGCATTCTCTATAAATCCTGGAGACGGTTATCTGGGGAAAACCCTGGGAGATCAGCAGCTTTTGAAATACTCAAACCAGCCTGTCTGGCACCCACAACCATGCCATGTTCAGAGTCACTTAAATCCCTTTTTTCCCCATTCTGATGCTCGGTTTGAACTTTAGCAAGTTTTCTTGACCATGTCTCCTTGCTGAATTGAGTTGCTGTTGATTAAATATATGTATTAACAAGCAGCTAAACAGGTATACCTAATAAAGGGGCAGTGAGTATAATTTCTTTTTAGTGTGTTACATGCATTATCTAGCGCACGTCACAAAGTAGCAGAAACCCTGTATGATTACCGTAAGAACCATACCTCATGCTTTGTGTGAGACAGCTGACGAGTAAAAAATAGCTACTTGTCATTGAAAGGACAAGACCTGACTATGACTATGAATCAGTACTATTGGTTATGTGATTGCAGAATGCGTATGCTATGCTATGTGTTAAATGCTCTTATATTTTGCTACAGTTGTCAAGCCAGCAGAGGACAGTGAAACTGCAGTAATGTTAAGTGTTAAATATGTGCTTCACTGTGTCCTTCAAGCAACTGCCTGCATCAGTCTAAACTTACCAGCAAACACCTCTGAGATCTTCAAAGTAAATGTGTGTTTTTGTGCAGTCTCCAAGGTATGCCAAGCAATTTAATTGTTGTTTTCTTGATTTTCACGTTTTCAGACTGCATCGAAGACTCTCCAATAATTTTCTTTTACTACCTACCGAGTTAGTTTGATGTATGCACTATGCTGGTCTTGCTTTATATATTTAGGCTCACGGTGATGGTCAGTTAAGGGTCTGCATGAAAAAGACTAAGAGAAAGTCAACGAGAGTGCAGACATCTGCTGATCTTGTTTTTATGTTTATGTATGGAGATATGCATCATAGAGACAGCATGCTTGTATGTGTTGAATTGGAGATCTGCATCTATGTACGTTAGTACATGTACATGTGGATAAAAACAAAACAAAACAAAACAAACTAAAAAAAAAATTCTCCCCCTACCACTTTACAAATGAAATCAGTGCTGTGAGGCGGTGGATTAATATCATAAGGAAGGCCAGAGTGGGCCATTAGAGTGGTGTAATGTTGCTCTGGGGCCTTCTGATGGATGGCCATCGGCGCTACGGCCCTATTTGCACACAGTCACCTCTGTGGTAGCTGCTATTAGCAGGACATGGGAGGTAAGGGCTAAGGGATGGTGGTGAGGTTGCTGTACCAAGGTTTTATTATTAGAGAGGTGTATGTGTTTGTTTTCCACTGTATGTGCCGGTGTGAGTATGCGAGTGTGTTCAGATTTGTGTATTTGTGAGCATGTGTTACTGCAATTATGAATGAGTGTGCGCGCGCATGTGTGTGTGTGTGTGCTTCGACTCTTTAACAGACAGATGTTGCGCTCCCCACTCTCCACTCTATCTAACGTGTCTGTCTCTCTCAGTGGACGGCGGTAGTAGGCAGCAAACACACTCAGTGTAATTAAGACAAATTAGCCCGGATGGCAGCTTTCAATAACACCAACATATGTTAGGAGGTTTTTACAGAAGAATACAATCAAAATCATCATTAGCTAATCAATTATAGAAAACAGAGTCAAATTTTCCACCTTGAAGCTCTTGTGGATTAATAAGATGCATTTATATTTTAAATAGGTTTATCTTATCCCTCTCTCCTTCGTGCTACTTTCATAACTCTTTCTTTCTTTTTTTATTTGGCTGAGAAACAGCAAATTGGAATCAGAAAGCCTTTATTGTCATCGTACTTGGCAATACAATTTAATTAGGAGTTTTATGCCTATGTGCTGCTTTAAAATAAATAAACATATACAAGCATAAAGTGCAATATAAATTTTACAGATAAAATGACACATGTTAAGTTCATGTTTTGGTGCATGGTAGGAAACAAACAACTACTAACAGCCCTGACAGTATAAAATGTCGACGTCTGTGGTTGTAAAAACACTTCTGATCTTATAGAAGTCTTCAGGAAAATAACTTTCTGGCTTGACTTCTGATTCTTCTGATTGCCTAATGAGTTTTCAGCCAAGTTGTTAGGTAGTGTCAGACCCACCCGGTGAAGACTCCCAGTGTGATTATTCAAAACAGGAATTCAGATATCACTGAATAACATCCTGGTACCTGGATCCATCTTTCATACTGTCTATGATTAAAACACTATAGTTGCCTATGCCGCCTCCATACTTGGCTTCCGGTTACCAACTTTCTTAGAAACAACACGTTTCCAAACATCGAATAAACAATCCTGCTTAATTAGACATAGGGTTTTAAAAAGCTCAGCAATAGCTTTTCATAACTGCACAATAACATTCCTAACTGAAACTGCAGTCAGTTTACAGTGTTGCAAGTTGTTTTTGTTGTTGTTTAAAAACGCAAATCCTCCCATAAAATGCTGATTGTATAAACTGGAGGTGCACAGTACATACTGTAATGTTAAATGACTGACTCAGTTAACTAAACTTACTGGAGGCCTTAATTCTCTTCATGTCAGCGCTCCTTTGTGCTTTCTTTTTTGCCATTTTCTCTGATTATCTTGACTTTTACCCCCTCCCCACGTTTTCACTTTCGAAACTTTTTGTTCATATATGCAGCTTCCAGTACTACGAACAGTTAACAGTAAGTTCAGAACAATGGGTGCTTGATTTCAGACAAAAGCAGCTCATTATTTGTATTTGACCCTTGTGAAATGAAATGAAACAAATACATTGTATCATGTTGTCACTAGGTAAACTAATAACTAGTTGTTTGAAAGCTCTTGTTTAATAGATACTGTAATCCTAGAAGAGTAAAACTAAACAGTTTCATCCCTTAAGATTCTTTTAAATTTGCTCAAATTCACCTCTTTTTCCTCTTAGTGCCCCTTTTTTCAATGCTCTCTATCTCTCTTTGTTTCTTTTGCCTCGTTCTCTCTCCTTATTCTCCATCTCTCTGTCTTGCTCTATCACTCTCTATGTCACTCGCCTTCTCCTCACATCTCTCTTCATCTCCCGCAACATTTCAAAAGAATGAATTACTTTGGGTTTGTCACTTGGCCCTGGCCGAGAATTCATTTTTGTGGGTCAAGTGTTTCAAACTGTCATTTTTGACAGGAACCTTCTCATATAATAACTACATGGATGGACCTTGACTTGGGGTGTTTTAGTTTCTCTCTCACCCTCTCTCACTCACTCACTCTCGTCTCTCTCTCTCTCTCTCTCTCTTCTCCTCATATGCATTCCAAAAAGATCTCATTGTTGGTGCCAAAAGAAGGACCTGGAGAGACGGGGAACGTGGAGAGTGTTGAGTCTTGAAAAACGTGATGTCGGAGAGATCAGTGCCAGTATTTAACTACGGCAAGGTCTACAACATAAGTAAGTCATGGAAGAAAAGGAAAGTGCATAAAAACATTATCCTCACATGTGTGAAGTCAAGTAAAGATGGAATTGAATGAATTTAAAGCCTGTGTGTGTGTGCGTGTGTGTGTGTGTGTGTGTGTGTGTGTG